GGTCTGACCCTCACATGTGAGGCCTTCAGTGAAGCCTTCACCAAGGAGACCTTCAAGAAGTCGCTCACCCTGAACGTAAAATGTGAGTGTCTGCCCTTGCCCAGCAATGCCCCCAAGCCTCAGGACCCAGCCCAGAGAAAAAGTCACTCTTCCTGCCACTCCTCTCAGATCCCGCCCAGAAACTGTGGATTGAGGCTGCCCCAGAGGGGCAGAAGCTCCGGGCTGGGACCCGGGTGAGGCTGGTGTGTTCGGCCATCGGGGGCAACCCAGAGCCCTCCCTCACATGGTACAAGGTTGGTGCCGCGCCAGGGCTATGGGGGTGGCCAGGAATGTGGGGGAAGGACCAGGCCCCCTTCTTTCCTTGAGAATCTTGGGCAATCTTGGAAAAAGATTAAATTTCTTGAAAAGTACTAGAGATTCTGAGGTTTGGCAGGGAATCAGGAAAGACACAAATGCCATGAGAATTAAATGGAATCCTAGGAAAATTCTGGGGAAACAGTGAGAATTCTAGAATAAAAATTGGAATTCTGAATCAAGATTAGGTATTCTAGAGAAAAGGTAATTTTGTTAAAATTATGGAAAATTCTAGTGATATATCTCAGAATTCAGGTGAAATGTCAGGAATTTTAGGGAAAGACTTGAATCCCAGAAAAAAAGAAAAAGAAAAAGAAAATTTGGAGAAAAGCTAGTAATTCCACAGACTATCCAAAATTCATTAGTATTAAATCGAATTCTTGGGATTTGGAGGTAAGACAATGAAATTTCATTAAAATGAAAGAGAAGCCTAATTCTAGGAAGATCCTGGGAAGTTAGGGAGCTAGTTGAAAATTTTGGGGGGAAAGACTAGGAATTATAGAAATGATAATGGAATTTCATTTTAATAGGATGGAATTCTGGGGAAGTGCTGAGAATCTGGTCAATATAAAGGAATCTGTTAAAAGACTGGGATTATAAGATATATCGGGAACGATTCAGAATCTATGGAAAGTATAATTTGTGCAGCAGCAACAATTAAAAAAAAAAAGTCTATGGAAAGGCACTGGAATTAAGGAAAATTTCAAAGGAAATCTTTGGGGACATTGGGAATTTTAAGAAAAGGAACTGAGGTATTCTGGGAAAGGCCTGGGAATTTCAAGGGAGTTTCCTGCACGTGGTGTTGGTTAAACAGAGCAGAAACAGATTTTGAGGAGTGCGCTGAGGGCCTGCAGGTGGCTGCAGAGGCGGAGCGGGGGTTGGGTGTGGTGCAGAAGGCGGATTCAGAGCCCCAAAACTGCCGTGCACAGGGATCCGGGGAGGCGGGAGAGACTCCAGGGCGGGGGTCACTCAGTTCCACTCCCCAGTGCTTTGCCCTAAGGGGGTGGCGCTGATGGGGGTGTTTCTCCGTATTACCAAAAGTCTTTGTCTGGGCTGGCGGCACCAACCCAGTGGGCAGGGTGTGGGAGTTGGGGTTTGGTGGAAGCAGCAGAACTGCCTGCGGCCTCCTGTCACTCCCGCCCCATAGGATTCGCGCACCGTGACTGAGTCGCGGCTGCCGCAGGAGCCGTGGCGCATGCAGCTCCGCAACGTGGAGAAATCTGGGAGCACCTTCTCCCGAGAGCTGGTGCTGGTCACAGGGCCGT